TTCTTAGTTGGAGTAAGTGAATCTTATGGTTTGGTTAATTATTCAGTAATTTATTCAGAGGCATTTTGGACATGTTATACAGTTTAGAAATACATGTGGTACAGGTCTAGAAACACAACCAAAATTCTTTGTAAAAAGAATGAAAAAAAAATGAGTCTTATCCCTAGGAATTAGAAATAGCAGGCACAAAGATTATTCAAGGCATGGATTAGTTATTAGCTCAACCAAAATGAATAATTTGAAAAGGAACATCAAATCAGAGAGGCCCTATTAAAAGAATAAAGAGGAAGGAGCCCCTGGGTAGCACGGTGGGTTGAGCGACTAACTCTTGGTTTCGGCTTGGGTCATGATCTCGGGGTCATGGAATTGGCCCCCTGCATCAGCTCTGAGCTCAGCAAGGAGTCTGCTGTGGTGTGTTTCTCTCTCTCTCTCTCTCAAGTGAACAGATAAATCTTTCCAAAAAAAAAAGGACAAAGAAGAGTCTGAGACAGCAAAATAGAATGGGATTGGGGGATTGGTAGCCCACCTATGTAAGATGGATTCTCAGTTGACTAGAGATATCAGCCCCTGTCAACTCCAATTTCTCACAGCAAAATCCACCAAAGGCTTCCTATCTGGAGACTCTGGTGCATCTCTGTTTCAAAGTGCTCCCTTTACGTGCAAGTTTATCAGCAGCCTCTGCCCCATTTACTTTTAAATTTTATAATGAGATTATCCTCCTCACACAAAGTATAGTGGTCCAGCCATGACTGTCTACTCCTTTGTATTTTTCTGAGTCCCACAGTATTTTCTCTGTGTTGACCCAGAATACCTTTGAATCCTTTCTCTCAGTTAATCTACCTAGCGCCTGACTACTAAAAATCCTTCCCTAAACCCTTGCCAGACACTGAAAATCCTGTTACTTTGCTTAGCTTCTTTTGCCAATCTTCCTTGTGCAGATTTTACTTCCTATATCTGGCTACACACAGTTGTCCTCTGGCACACAGACTAATGCCTTGCCTCAACTGCTGCACTGCCTTCCTTCCAGATTGGACAAGCTCTTAAAATTTCTTAATGGAAGGACTGCTTCCTGGTCCTGATGATTACAGGAACTTCACCACTGAATATAATCTATTTTGGGTATTTTACCTTAGGATGGCTATCTACCAAATGAGAATAGATAACTGGGGTCAGTTATCTAAATATCCAGTTTTACCATTGAGATAGCCATGAACATTTTGTGTGCAAAATTCAAAGATCAGTTGTTTCTTGGGGGCATAAAAAAACTGACATTAAATAAAAGGTTAATTATATAGGTCCTTCACCTTTTTATCCAACAATAAACTTGTTGATAGAGTTGGAAATAAACCATATGCATTTCTTGGCTTAATAATCAGAGTGTAATGAGCAAAACTTTCATCATAGTGTATATGTAAAGACTATACCTATAAATACTGTTATAAAATCTTGTTGTTATTGGGGCACCTGGGTGGCATAGTCGGTTAAGCGTCCAACTCTTGGTTTTAGTGAAGGTCGTGACCTCAGGATCTTGAGTGGCTTCCATCTCCATGCTCAGTACGGAGTCTGCTTGAGCTTCTCTCAACCTCTCCCTTGGCCCGTCGACTCATGCTCTCTCTAAAATAAGTAAATATTATTTTTTAAAAACCTGTTGTTATTTAGTGTTTTATACAGTGCTTTTATTCAAATGAGTTCTACCATTTCTGAGAATTGAATACCATGTTGATCTTTCTCCTACAGTTGTTTCTCAGCATTGCAGAACATACCATGCTACTTGGAATTACTTCACCACAGCCTGCAAGCATTTCTTATGGGTCAGCATGTCTGTGGCTCCCTTTTTTACAGATGTTTTTTGCCTTTTAACTTCTTTCCTTCTATCTCTTTATAGGAAATTTGACCTCTCAGGGTTACTGTGCTGAATCAGATTGTCAAACATAAAGTTGTTAACATGTGAATAATAATGACTTCATTCAAATAAGATGTCCGTTCACCTTATGAGGATAAGATGAGAAATCAGAGTCAATAAAGTAAAATGTGACAGGTTATATTACCAAAACAAGCAAGCAGGAATCACCTGAGATTGCAGTGCTCACTCTTTTCATCACCTGATCCTCGTGCTGGAACTGCTTTTGCAGCTCTAATGTTTCTTCACCATCGTCACAGTACACTTTAACAAATTCAGAATTTTTACATAGGCATCTAAACTGGAGGCAAATTATTTCATTGTATAAACAACACAGGAATAAATTAGTCCTTTAGAATTATCATTTGACTTGTAGAAGTGTCAATTTATTAAACTTAGTGTTCTCAGATTTCTAGGAGATACCTATTGTTATTTAACTTCTCAATAAAGGATAAGAGTAATAGTGCTAAAAGTGACTTTCTAATGCTGTGTAGTGAATAAGAACAGGTGGAGCAAAAAGCTGAACCTGTGATTTCCTATTTAGAGTTGGCATTGATTACCCACAATGTCTTGAATCCATAAAAAAGCAAACTTTGCAGTTTAATCTTTTCAAAGCAATTTTAAAAATCAATATCACATTCTAAATGACTTACCTAGAATTTATTTTGGTAATGCAGTGTCGTGTGTTCCGTAGTTAGCATACAAAATAGATATTGATTTCACACGTTTTATACACTTATGTTTATTAAACAATCTACCCCGAGGATATTTTCATGTCAGTAAAATGTTGGATTAACAAATGTTTGAGTAAAAGAACTTTTTTTTGCCACTTCACACCCATGAGAATAGCTATAATAAAAGAAAATAGACAATAGTAAGTGTTGATAAAAATGTGGAGAAATTGGCCCCCTCCTAACTGCTGGTGGGAGTGTAAAATAGTCCAGCCATATTGGAAAGCAATTTGAGAGTTCCTCAGAGGTTAAAAATAGAGTGACCATTTGACCCAGCAACTCTTTTCCTAGATATATAACCAAGAGAAAAATACGTTTACACAAAAACTTCTACACAGATGTTCATAGCAGCATTATTCATAATAGCAAAAAGGTAGAAACAACCTATATGTCCATCAACTGATGAATGGATAAACAAAATGTGGTATATCCGTGCAATGAAATATCATTCAGCCAAAAAAAGGAATGGAGTACTTATTCATGGTACAACCTGGATGAACCTTGAAAACATCAAAGTCATATTATTTTATTTGTATGAAATGTCCAGAGTAAGCAAATCCATGGAGCAAAAAGTAAAGTAGTGGTTGCCAGGGCCTGGGGGGAGAGGGGAATGGGGAGTGCTTGCTAAGTGGATATGAGTTTCTTATTTGGGATGATAGAAACATTTTGTAATTAGATAATGGTGATGTACAACTTTGTGAATATATAAAAACTATAAAAACTGAATTGCCTACTTCTAAGGATTAATTTTATGGTGTATATATTATGTGTCAAAAAATAGCAGTGTTTGCTTACCTATATAAAAAGATATTTTTAAGATAAAAATGTAAAAATTTTATGTGTGTATGTGTGTGTGTATAATTACTGGCAGGACTTTCCAAAATGTTAAACACATAAGCTGGTATTCACCTGAAAGCCTTGCTATATATTAAATCATGTGTACCAATATACATTGAACTTCCACCAATCTGAATGTCACATGTTTTTTCAAAGACAAAAGAATGCCAGAAGTGAAGCAGCCAAGAGCAAATATCTCATGCATATCTTTGCTGATTATTCTTTGAATGTTATTATCACCTCATGAAATGACCTTTAAAAGCTTATCTGATCTCAGAATTATCAGTTCAGAATATCATGTAGTACTAGAAAGACCAATTACTATAGAGTCAAATATGGCTGGATTTTAGACCCAACCTATAATTTCCTAGCAGCTTCTTCCGGTTAAATTCTCTGACATCTCTGAGCCTTAGGTTTCTCATTGCAAAATCCCTAATAGGGTTGTTGTGAGGATTACATGAGATACCCTGAATAAAATAGACTGTGTTCTCTGCTTCCCTGCTGTGCATATACTCTGTTTCTTATCTCTACACTTTCCACCCCAGTCTTCCTTATATACTCTCCACTACACAAACTCAGATCTATACAAACCAAATTATGTCTCCTTCCTCTATTTCTATTGAACCAAGGGATTTACCCTATTGAAGTACTTGCCATATTGAATTTTCATGTTTATTTGCCTATCTTCCCCAGAAAACTCACTTGTTGGGAGGGGAGCCATTTTGTCTACCATTATATATACATTTACCTAGCATAGGGACTAGCTGAATAAATATTTGAATAAATGAATTTTAATAACATATCTAGCATTTTATTGGGTTCATAATAGCTCTCTAAAACAGTATAATGTGTCCTGTGTTTTCCTCTCTAGAACATAATCGTCCTGAAGCATTTTCAAATTTATAATATGTGGTGATTTATATATGGAAAGGGTTTTATTACTAGTTAGACCTATGGTTTGAAGAAAATGTTCCTTATCTGTATTATAAAAGACTATTTGTTATATATTTATCTCTGTAATTTGTGCATTGTTTTCTTGTAATATCCAAATTTATATATTTACTAACTTAAAATTTATTTTACAAAAGTCCTAAGAATTTGCAGTCCAATGCACATATTTCCTGCCATCCTCTGATGTTACTTAGAAAGAAGCAGGCTTAGAATCAGTTTTGCTGTAGATTTAAGAAGGCCTTTGAAATGCATAGAAATTAAATCATTTTAAGCAATATAACTGAAACTTGCTCTTATTTTTTATTTTAAATGTCTTACAAAATAATAATAATAGGCAATATTTGGGGATGGAAGGAATAAAAAAAAGGAAGCAGTAGAGGTAGTTTAATTGGTAGGTTTTGTTCTCCACACTTAGCATATTTCCATACATATGCCTATCTAAATTATTTACAAAAGCTTTGCTGTATAAGTTATTAACTACATAATAATATGGGGGTATAGAAAAAAGTAGAAGTCATGTTTATGTTTATATAAATCATTGAGATTTCTGTAGAGTCTCATAACCATTCTGTTTCTTTCAGGTACAGAGAACTGCAACTTAGTACAGAAAGCAAAGTAATGGAATATCTCCATCAAAGTAAATTAAAATCTTTTGAAACTGAGCGTGTTCAACTTATACAAGAGGAAACTGCAAGAAATCTCACACAATGTCAATTGGAATGTGAAAAATATCAGAAAAAATTAGAGGTACGTATACAAACTTTTCTTTTAAAATTAGCATAAGAAGGGTGTCTGGGTAGCTCAGTTGGTTAAACATCCAAATCTTGGTTTCAGCTCAGCTCCTGATCTCAGGGTAGTGAGATCAAGCCCCATGTTGGGCTCCACACTCAGTGTAGAGTCTGCTTAAGATTCTTTCTCCCTCTCTGTCCCCCTTTGCTCCTCCCTCCACCCATGTGCTCTCCCCCTCTCTCTCTAGAATAAGTAAACATGCAACTCTTGATCTCAGGGTCATGAGTTAGAGTCCCACTTTGGGCATAGATTTTAATTTTAAAGAATAATAAATAAAATAATAAAATTAGCATAGCATGTAAGCTCAATAAGTATAGGGTGAATATCATATTGAGCTTTATTTTACCTGTAGGACCTAGCACTGTCTTGTACTTGTACATGAGCGCATGCATACATACACACACACACACACACACACACACACAAGATACGTGTATTTCAGAAAGATGTGTAAAAAAAAGGACTGGAATTGTTAGAAAATGAAAAAAAAATCTCATTCTCAGTAGCAACCAAAAATATATAATTACTTGGAATATTTTTAATAGGAATAGTGCAGAGCCTATGTTAAGAAAAGCATACCACTTCACTAATATATAAGAAACACCATCTTTCTGGAAGGTAATATTCAGTATTACGTATTTTCTTATTTTTATCAAGTAATGTATGTTTATTTTTAATCAAATACTAACATGCTTGTTTTTAACTGAACAAAGTAATTCTGTAGTATAACTGGGAAAAAAAACAATAATTAATTTTTAGGATTTCCTTATTTATTTTAGAGAGAGTGAGAGAGATAGCATGTGCATGTGAATGGTGGGAGGGACAGGGGGTGAATATTAAGCAGACTCCCCACTGAGCTCAATCTCTCAACAGTGAAATCATGACCTGAGCCAAAACCACTAGTTAGATACTCAATTGACTGAGCCACCCAGGTTCCCCAAGAATAAAAAAAATTTTGAAGAAAATTGTTAAAAAGAAATAAAAGAAATATCTATCACATTTTAAAATTCATTGAGGCAAGAACAATTAAAACACACTGAAGAAACATCCATAAGTCATATCAGGTACAAGCTCATGACCCATAATTACATAAATTTAAGAATGTATTCATTGTAAAGGTTCTATTACAAATCAGGGGGAAAGGTGGATTAGACAACAAATAGTGCTGTGATAATCATTTGAGTATTTAGAGAAAACAGTTTATATACTTCACACTGCATATCAAAATAAAACTCAAATGGATCCTAGATAAATGTAAATGCAGAACTATAAAACTATTAAAAGTAAATACAGATGAAATTTTATGTCAGTTTGGGGATTAATTCTGTTGATGTGTTGATTAAAATCAGGGAAGGGTTGATTAAAATCAGCCACTGGGGTGGCTCAGTCAATTAAGCATCTGCCTTCGGCTCAGGTCATGGTCCCAGGGTTCTGGGATTGAGCCCCACATTGGGCTCCCTGCTTAGCGGGCTCCCTCCTCTGCCTTCTTCCCTGCTTGTGCTCTCTCTCTCTGTCAAATAAATAAATAAACTCTTTAAAAAAAATAAAAATTAAAAAAAGTAGGGGAAGAAATATAAGAAAAATAAAACTTTTAATGTTTCTATGTTAAAGGGCAAAATGAAGACTGAAAAATATTTGTGTTATGTAGGAGAAAGGGCTTGTGTCTTTACTTTTGAAAGATCTCTTATCAAAACGATATACCTTCCTCTTCTAGAAAATAGATGGAAAGAAGGAATGTACTGGTTTTAAGGAAAGATATGCAAGTTGCTAAGAAATAGATGAAAACATGCATTCTCCCTAATAATTAGAGAATTGTGAATTTAAACTCTTTTCTAGCTTTACATAGATCTGTTCATTGTTTTCAGACTACTGGCAAGAGTACCAGTAAGAGGAAATCTCATGCAGTTAGAAAATGGAACATATATCTCTTCTGAGGACAATATGGTGACCTATGTTAAAGTCCTTAAAAAAATTGATCCAGTAATTTTAAAGGAATATTATCTGAGGAAATAGTAAGAGATGTTTGTAAGAGTTTATATTAATGGAATATATCACAGCCTTATTTATTATAGTAAAAATTAGAATTTGTTTAAGTAGTAGATAAACAATTTTCAGTTAGTATGTTATAAACTGTATTTTTGTGGGACGCCTGGGTGGCTCAGTGGTTGAGTGTCTGCCTTCAGCTCAGGGCATGATCCCAGGGACCTGGAATTGAGTCCCATGTCCGGCTTCCCATGGGGAGCCTGCTTCTCCTTCTCCCTCTGACTGTGTGTCTCTGCCTCTCTTTCTGTGTCTCTCATGAATAAATAAAATATTTTTAAAAATAAAATAAAACTATATTTTTGCTATAAACATGAATTCTATGGTTACATGTAATCATGTTCCTGAATATTTTAGATTTGTGGGAAATAATTTTAAAAATTGAATGAAAGTATAATAATGTCATTAGCATGATTAGCTAATAAGTTTTCATTACAATACTCTCTCAGAGATTATGTTTCTGCAAAGCATTCTGATAAATAAAACTAAGATTAACAAGATAAAGATTCTCACAGAAAAATAAAGCCTTAGAAAAATATTAAAATGATATTAAATACATATATAAAGAAACAGAAACAAAAATTGTAGATAGTGTCTACTTCTAAAGCAAACTGGTGTTGAGCATTTAAAATTTTTTCAAATACCTTCTTCAGGAACCTACTACAGTCATAATCTGCAACGGCAGGTTCTCCCAAACATTTTCAGTCAGATTGTATTTGATCAGCTCTAATTTGAAATTCATCTTTTCAAGGTATATTTTCCATAGATTAAATTTCATAATCCCTAGCAAAATGCCTTTCTCTTTTTTTCCCCCAGATTGGATGACTGTGCTTAAGAATTTGTCTTGAGGCAGGTGGAAAGGAGATGGGGGTATATATAGGAAGACAGGGAAACCACTTCCCTCTTACTCTGTACTTCTGTTTAAACATTTCACTAAATAATACTTTACAACACATGGTACTGATGTTTTTTGAACCATTCTATTATTTTTAGCTGGTTGCAATCCATATTGATTTCATGACCTCTTAAAGGTTACAACTTGCAGTATGAAAACCACTCTCCCATAGAGAGTGAGTGGTTAGTGAATTCAGTTGACTAGCAATTATTGTGTTTTTTGGGGTAAAGGTAATGGAGAAACATTTTGGCAAAAAATATTATGATTCTAAAAACTGGTTGATAAAAGTGAGGCTTTAAGGAAATGTCTTTACATTTCCTCCTCTGTTAAACTGGGAGCCTTGAGAAGACAGGGACTATTCGTTTATCATTATGTTGCCAATACCTAACACAATGCTTTGCTCATGGTGGATGCTCAGTAAATAATGAATGATTGAATGGTTTGGTGAATGTTACTATAGTAATATTATTGTTCGAATCCATTTTTCTGAAGTCCTGGGAGGTATTTCTAAGAATTCTTATTTACAGTGAATTTAGAGAGAAATCTATGAAGGATAAAGATTGTTGTATTTATGTACTTTTCTGTGGCTTTTACCCAATATTTTCATTGATTTATAATTTGGAGATAATATATTTTACTTCTTTTTTTTAAGATTTTATTCATTTATTCATGAGAGAGAGAAAGAGGGAGAGAGGCAGAGACAGGCAGAGGGAGAAACAGGCTCCATGCAGGGAGCCCAATGTGTGACTCAACCCCATATCTCCGGGATCAGGCCCCGGGCCGAAGGCGACCCTACACCGCTGAGCCACCCGGGTTGCATATTTTATTTTAATGGTAAATTGGCAAATTTAATAGTCAGGCTCCCAAAACACTGACTTTATATTTTTATCTCTTTTTTAAAGCAATTATTGACCCAAAGTTTTTTTATCATTTTTTTTTCTTTATTTAAGATTTTATTTATTCACGAGAGACACACAGGCAGAGAGAGAAGCATGCTCCTCACAAGGAGCCCAATATGGGACTCGATCTGAGGACCAGGATCACGGCCTGAGCCAAAGGCAGATGCTCAACCACTGAGCCATTCAGGCGTCCCGTGTTATCATTTATTTTATATGTAATTACATATATCATCTTATGTAATTTTGTATCATCATTCTATTATTTAAAGGAAGGAAATATCCACTGTGAAAGCTTAATATCTAATGGGTTTCTAAAAGCAGCTGATCTATTTTATGCACTCATGTTCGAACTCAAATATTTGTATGTTGGTTTGTCATAAAGAATCTTTAATAGCCTTCCATAGGTCCAGTAATCAAGTTCTTCTTTGACTTTCAGAAACACTAATAAATTTATAGCAACCACTCAGACAAATCCAAGTAAAAGGGAATTCTTCACCATGGAGTACAGAGGTATTAGGTGTTTCTGGCAATCTCTCTTCTGTGTTACAAAAATAGGAATTTTAAATTATATTTCTCAATTTAATACTATTTTTTAAATCTCTTATTAAAATAATACTTTTTGGGATGCCTGGGTGGCTCAGCTTTTGAGCATCTGCGTTTGGCTCGGGCCTGATCCCAGATTCTCGGGATCAAGTCCTGCCTCAGGCTCCTTGCATGGACCCTGCTTCTCTTCCCTCTGCCTGTGTCTCTGCCTCTCTCCCTCTCTGTGTCTCTCATGAGTAAATAAATAATCTTAAAAAAATAAAATAAAATAATACTTTTTGAAATATCTCATCTTCAACATTTTGATTGTTTATATCTTTAGATGTCCATATCTGCAGGTTTTCATTGAGGGAAGTGGAGTACAGACGAAAACTATCAACTGTGTTGTGAGAATAGTCATTTAACACTGTTCTTACTGATCCTCTTTTGACCATGGAATTAGTGTCATCAGCCACCAAAGTCTTAATGAATTACATCTCAATATAGTAAATTCTATGAAAGCTCTAGATTATTTCACTGACTAGCGATTTAGTATAATGAATTAATAAGTCTCTAAAAAATATATTCCCAGCTGGCAAGAATAAAGAAGAAATTGTACTAAAAGTTGAATTTTCTTTTTCTGATCTAATCAGGGACACTAAAATCATCATCATCATATAATCATCATCATCATCATAATCATTATTCCCATGTTATTCTTTCTTCATCTTCCAAAGAAAAAAATTTGGGAAGTGGAGGATAATGCTTAATTTATTTTGGCAGGAAGTTTTGATGGAAATAATTGAAGGAAAATAAGATAGAATAGGTTAAGGAAAATTAAATTGTAATTTTTGTTTGTAAAAACTGTAAATAGATCTGCATCTTCTCCTTTTTCCACATCAGAGAAAGCATACAATCACATTTGTTAAGGTGAACTTTATGTCATGAGAGAAAATAAATTGTGTTAAAAATTGTTTCATTATATGGGGTCCTGGGTGGCTCAGTCAGTTAATCGTTTGCCTTTGGTTTAAGTCATGATCCCAGGGTCCTGGGATCGAGCCCCACATGGGGCTCCCTGCTAAGTGGGGAGTCTCTCTCTCCCTCTGCCACTTCCCCTGCTTCTGCTCTCTATTTCAAATAAATAAATAATCTTTTTTTAAAAAATTGTTTCATTATATAGAATTCAGAGTAATTAGCCAATGGATCTCTATTTCTATGAGCCATTTAATACAATGTTCTCATAATTCTTAAATTTGTAATAGTATTTTCAAATAGTATTCAATATTCAATAGTATTTTTCAAACTCAGGCATTCTACTAAGCACCATGAATTTATCATCTTACGTAATCCAACAATGTTTTGAGTTAGTCCTAGAAAGAATAATTGCCTAAGATCCACAACGGATAAGTGTCAAAACCAGCAATGAAACCCAAATCTTTCTGGCTGTAAACCCATATTCTTAACGATAATACTCTATTGCTTCTAAGGAAATGCTACATTGCTTATGCTGTATTGAGAAGCAACTGTAATACCACTCCATAATTTAGTCTGTACTAGTTAGCAAACTTTCTAGATAATTGGAATTTTATTTTAGCTTTAAAACATTTCCTTTGTCACTAGAAATAGTCTTTCTTTTTTTAGTGATTCCTTCAATGAATCACCGTTGAAGAATGTAGGATTTTTTTGTTCTTATACAAAATAACTCCAATTTCCATAGCTCTTACTTATAATTTTTTAAATCCTTCCTTTCTATAGAAAGGTATTTTCTGATACTGCCCCAAGTGGTACTTCATATTTATCATTTTGATTTGTTGCTTTGAATTTATGATTGTTCAAGAAACCAGAACTCTCATTAAAACCACGGTAAGCATAGATGAAATAAGCTCTGATGGAAAACTGAGTATATCATTTTTATGCACAGCTTTGTAAGCCTGCAAGCCTTTCTCCAATAGCTACAATTGCCAAATAAATTACCTTCTGGTAAGTATGACATTCTTGCATTTCTTAGTTCTAACAAGCAAATGCTAATCTTATTTCTATAACTCTAAGTTTTAAATTTGTTGTTTATTCAGTTCAAATAATAAAGTGCTTCATAGTTTTCAGTTGCAAACAACTGAATTATTTACATTAGAAATAGATGTGTCTTACCTCCTCTCATCTCATTTGAGCTACTTTCTCCTCACATTTAAAGGAAAGGAGGAAAGGAGGAAAAAATCTAAAAGTATTTTTGTGTCACATATTTGTCTTAACTACTAACCTTTTTTAATTCTGCCTTGGCAATTTTTTTTCTTCCACTGTTAGGTTTTAACTAAAGAATTTTATAGTCTCCAAGCCTCTTCTGAAAAACGCATTACTGAACTTCAATCACGGAACTCTGAGCATCAGGCAAGGCTAGACATTTATGAGAGATTGGAAAAAGAGCTTGATGAAATAATAATGCAAACTGCAGAAAGTAAGTCACCCACTACCTCACACACACAGCTCTTACTGGCAGTACAGGGAACCTGGTATTGCTTCTAAAACTGCTTTGGTATATTTCGTTTATTTTAAAAATTAATCTTAATTTCAGTAGTTGGCATTTAAAAAATATGTTAACTGTGAGAGATTTTATTTTTCCATTTATTCAGTTCCATTGTTGAACAATTGAAAGTTTACATGTGCCAGAATCCAAAGCTGTGGATTTCATATGATAATTCTTGTTGAGAAGAGTTCCTAACCTAGACCACTGGAAGAAACAAACATAGTAAAGATAATTAAAGTAGCCAGATGTGTGCTACTATCAATAAATAGGCATTTCTCAGTGGAAATACAGAAAAGGTCATAAGTTAATTCCAACTTTGGAGGTGAGGAATATAACACCTAAGAGAGGAGGTGACACTTTGAATGAGTCTTGAAAAACAGAAATTTACTGAGTATGCTGGTTATAATCCTGGACCTTTAATTTCTACTTCTTCTATTTCCTTTTATTGTGCTGTCTTCCTGTGTTATCCTTGGTGTTAAGGAAATATTTTAAATCAGCCTTTCACCATTGACTGAGATGTTTGCTGCAGCACATTATTTTTGTTCAAAAGTTGGAAATATCAGGGGCATTCTTTATAAAGTAGGTTTAAAGTTCAATCGAAGCTGAGGTTAAATTCAAATCTATTTGGGACACATTTTCTTGTAAAGGCTATGTAATATTTGTAGGCCAATTGAAGGAACACTTTTATTTCATTCCTATCACTTTTTTCCACTTCTGGGGTCAATATCTGATAACTGCAACAGTTTCCAAATTTGTCTTCGTGTCTTCACTGGAGTCAGAGGAATCTTTTTAAAACTCAGATTTGATTATACCATACACCTGCTTTAATGCCTCTCTGTCAGTCTTCTTAAAACAGTATAAAGTCAGATTCTGTAGCATGACTTTTTAAATTAGACTCTCCTTTATCTTTCATGCTTTACCGTTCCCTGTCATATCATCTTATTTTGAAAGTTCCATACTCCTTCTTCATACCTTTGCATATGTCCCTCTGTCTAAACAAATTAGGAGTAGAACAGAGCTTCCTAAATCTGATAAATGGTATCTACAAAGAACCTACAGCTAATATCATACCTAATGATGAAGTAGAAATGCTTTCCCTTTAAGGGAGAGTACAAGGCAAGGATTTCTATTTTTATAACTTATATTAAACATTATAATAAGTTTAAAATATGTTTTATACTCCATTTATATGGAAATTCAAGGGCCTGTTAAGGCCCACTTTTAATAATACCAGTACACACCTACCAGAATGGCTGAAATTAGACTGGTTATAGCAATGTTAGTGAGAATATAGAACAACTGCAGTTTGTTATAAAGCCAAACAACCTATCCAATAATCCAGCAATTCTATTCCTATGTATTTTGCCCAAGAGAAAAGAAAGCATATACACACAAAAAGACTTTTACTAGGATATTCTTAGGAGCTGTATTTATAATAGTCGAAAACTGGCAGTAGCCCAGGTGACTATCACAGGAAAATGGCTAAATAAACCATAATACATTTTATACTATAGAATACCACTCTTTAATAAAAAGAAAAAAGAACTAATGATTCTTCAACAACATGGAAAATCTGAAGAACTTTGTGTTTAGTCTAAGAAGCCTGATATAACTAAATTTATATAAAATTCTATATAAAGAGGAAAAACTAATCTGCAGTGAAAAACTGCAGAACAGTGGTTGCCAGTAAAGATGATTGTCACCAAAAATTAACTGGGAAAAGAGATGTTAGGGAACTTTCTAGGGTGTTGGAATGTTCTGTATCTTTACAGGGTTTGTGTTACATGTGTGTGTATATTTCTCAGAACTCATTGAAGGTAGACTTAAGATTTCTACCTCTTACAATATGTAAATTTAATTTTTTTAGGAAGAACTATAAATATTCAACTATAGTTGATAATTTACATGTTGAATTCAGCTGGTGAAGCGTTTGACTCTTGATCTCAGCTCAGATCTTGATATCAGAGTTGTGAGTTCACACTGGGCATGGAGCCTACTTGAAAGGAAGGGAGGGAGGGAGGAGTATTGCCCAGAAGCTAAATAAGTTCCAATATAAAAAGAAAACCAGATTTCTAGTTGTCAGATTCTGGAACCTTCTGTTACATCTCATCCTACTTGTTACCTCTACAAGGCATTTGTCACATTTCTTGAGATGCTTCTTGAGAATCACCTGCCTCTGATTGTTTCTTCTCCATCACTTTTGTTATCTCTTCTAGCTAACTGTACCTATTTGTTCACCAGGGGTTTTTCCCCTCAACTACTCTGCAGTTCATACTTACTTACTTTCTCTCTGGATAATCTTATCCCTTTCCACAATTTCATTTACTCTCCATAGGCTAATGATTCTATAGATCTGTAAAAGAGTTCCTACAGGCATTAGAAGTGTAACATTTCTTACATTTTTTTCTTCTGTCTGTGAAACTTACCAATTTTCTTGTATTCTTGACCTGTTAGTAAGGTTAAAGTCTAATTACCATCAGATTTTGTCAACCTTGGTTTCTCCCTTATTCTGTCTACTGCCTTATCTCACCTCCACACCTATTCAGTTGTCTGGAATCTAACTTCTTTTGTTCATCTTCCCTTGCTCTTAGGGACCATGTCTCAAATGGATTATTACTATAACTTGTGAGGAGTTCTCTGTGCTAATATAGGCCATCTTTTTCCCCATTAATAGAAATTATTTTTCAACAATATCAGCATCAACAACAAAGATCTTTTGGTCATGTCACCTTCCTATTAATTTTTAATTAAATAAACTTCTTAGCCTAGCAAATAATACTTTAAGTTCCATTCTTAATTGGAACTGAGCCTACCTTCTACCATTGTTCTCTAAGCTAACTCCAACCATGTATCTCACAATTACTAAAACTGCACACCTCTGTGCCCTTACACATGCACAGGCCCTCCTGTGCCTTCTCTGTGAATGTTAGTCTCCCCACACATTCTCCCACTAATGCTCCAAGCTTAAGAAAAGTGGTGGCACTCAGACGTAGTTGCTCAGTGCTCTATACTTCTAAGTCACATTCATATCTCTTTAGTGTCATTTACCATGTACATTGTTTCTGTAATTAAATCACCACTAGAATAGTTATCCCATGAGTTATTAATACACTGAGTATTAAATTTAAGATGTTCATTAATATCTAACTGATGGATTTCTGAGATGTTAGCTACCTTTACCTTCTTCCTTCTGAATTTAAAGACAGGAGTCATCTAGTTATCTAAATGCCACCTCTAATAGAACCATTCTGCCATTCTGATACAGCTGAATTGGAGAACTCATTTCAGTTCTGGAGCCATGATAGCTGATAACACCAATAGTAATGGCATATATCATCTCTTGCTTCCACGTTTACCTGACAGCTTATAACTCTACCTCTGAAAACTGATTCTAGTTCACCATGAAGAAATAGGAGTAAAGTTGAAGAAAAACAGGAAAAATTTATTTAAAATTCTTATTGTGTCATAAAAGGATCAGTCAACAATTATGTACATATTACAGTAATGGGTCTGCAAATACCTTCACTTACTAATGTGACCTACATGGCTTTGTTTTAAATCTGAAACACTTCTGAGAGGTTTCTCTTTTTAATGTTAAATAATGATTGTTGTTGAATAATGTTATAAAAATTGTTATATGTCATTGAGTACTTTAAGCTTGTAAACCTTTAGTTTTTGTGGACTTTTAAGTATTTTTAATCCCAACTTACAATAAAATTGTCATTGCCTTTAAACTTTATAATAATAAAATGTTAACCTGTCAGTTAAAATTCCTTCTGAAAAAGAATGGTGTGACAGTGGCAGAATTCAGAAGTAAATGGTTCTGCTGAATTTTTTTCTAATTAAAAAAAAGGCCATCAATACATTCTTAGTACTGCACATTTTTTTCAGAGTAGCCTATTTAAATGCATGATTCATCATTACAAGTTAAGATAAAGTTGTTCTGATAAAATGATGCACATCTTTCCTAATTAAAAATAGCCCTTTCTTTTATCAAGAGAAGCAGTAAAGTTGATTTTATCATTACTTACTTATAATTGCATAACATACATTCTACGTAAAAAGCCTTAGAATCATTCAGAATAACACAGAAACTTTAACATGTCATATGATGCAAGCCCTTACACCTTTTAAAAATAAATGGAACGAATTTAAGCAACCATATACTTTAAGAAATATGTTTCTACTTACAAATGGACTCTTTGAGATTATGCATTAGCCCTTTTTAAATGTTCTCATGCTCCCTGATTCATTAGCATGACCTCTTTTATTTTCACTTCTGCCATGCTTTTTAAGGAAAAAAAAAACTTACGTTACATCATACACTTTAATATTTTTCAGTTGAAAATGAAGATGAGGCTGAAAGGGTTCTTTTTTCCTATGGCTATGGTGCTAATGTTCCCACAACGGCCAAAAGACGACTAAAGCAAAGGTAAAATCAATATATATCTGTTTTACTTATCTACTCAAGCTAAATGTAATTACATTATGCTTTTTGATAATGTGCAAAGTAAAGTTACTTTATTCTTAGTATGCATAAATATTAAATTGCTCACAAAATAAAGCAAAGTAAGTTATAATCATGCATTTCATGTATTTTTAAGTAAGTTTAATGGTCAGTAAAATAGAAGTGTACATTAGAATTTTCCTAGAACTAGATTTAGTGATAATGACACCATTTTAGTTTTATTTTCACATTTATTTTAAGTGAGTTAGAAATGCTTTCGTACCAACAGTTTTCAGGTTAAAATTAACTAATTATGCTTCCTTTTTCTCTTGTTTTTTATTTACCTGTGTACATTCCTTGACATATACTTGAGAAAGAGAAGGAGGGAGGAAGGGAGACAGATGAGATAGAACATATATTATAATTAAAAGTATAAAAGACTTTGTGAAGCCCAAGAAATTTGGGGGGAGATCCCTCGTGATTTCATAAGATATTCCTTAAAGTACACTAAGAAAAATAGTACCTGCATTAGTCAGTTTTCTAGTTGACCTAGCCGATTTTGTTTTTACCTACCTCCTTGGTCTCACTTTAATTCATCCTTCTGGGGCAGCCCCGGTGGCGCAGCAGTTTAGCGCCACCTGCAGCCCAGGGCGTGATCCTGGAGACCCTGGATCGAGTCCCACATCGGGCTCTCTGGATGGAGCCTGCTTCTCCCTCTGCCTGTGTCTCTGCCTCTCATTCTCTCTCTGTGTCTCTATGAATAAATAAATAAAATCTTTAAAAAATAATAATAATTCATCCTTCTGTGCAAAAACATCTCACTGCCCCATTTGCTACCATATCGAATCTAAGTATTTCTGCCAGACCTCCAGGCCCCTCCATGTGGCCCCACCTCTCCAGCCTTATTTGCCACTTTACCCAAAGTGGGGGCAATATATCTCTATGCCTATAAACATCTATTTTCTCCATGCCATCCAATAGAGCATCTCTCTTATCTCCTTAGCTCTTGTTTCCCATGTCCTTTCCCCAGCCCGGTAGAAGGTACCTCAAGGTCAGCAACTGTATCTTATTCTTGTTTACCCTCTTTTTCTATGTAGCATGATGTAAGATACCTAGTAGAATTGTTTCTTCATCTGAGTATTTGAGGATTCAAAGCTGCTTGTTTCTCTTTTATTTTTATATGAGTTGACTGAAACATTTAGAGACATCATACTCTAAGTAAGAAAAACAGTTCATCCGAACTCTAATACTTCTGTAGGAACTTTGAAGTCATGACTCAGAGAATAAAATGTCTTTAAGGCCATGATGTAAGATATAAGCCATTTTATAACAAGACAAATGGGTACTTTGAATTTGTGTCCCTTACTGGTTAAAGTAAATATCTAGAAAATTTTTAGATCAAGGATAGGTGACTGTCAAGTGTCATTTTGTAGCTGGTTAAATTCTGTCTGGTGAAGATGCAGGTATTTCTAAATAATGTATTATTTGAGAAATCAGTTATAGTCTCGTCCCATTCACATTCTCTGCCGCTCCTTCCATAGGTCACTAAGGGTGACCCAGGCTATTTTGTAATTGTCAGCGTATCACTTTGTTGGAGCGTTATATTGCCGAGGGAGGAATAGAAATATACTTTGTGGACTTGTGAGTCCACAAAAGAGACTTGTGAGTGGCAAATGATTGGTGAATACTAAAAATTGAAATTTGAAGGAGCAGGTCTAGTCTCTTCTTTTTTTAGGATATAAGCCTTCAAAAGAATCTTTGCCACAAGGGAAAAAAAAGGAATTTTGCTGTTGTAAGCTTTTTTCTTTAGCCCTAAATGCTGAGTTCCTCTAAAATTGAAAGCAATTATTGCTGTTACCTTACTTTTTCTGAAGAATTTCCAAAAACAGATGTTGATTTCTTAATAATTAGAGTGAAGATTTAAGGAACCACAACTGATTCATATTCTGAATAATCTTAAGTATCCAAATATTTCTAAAGATTTTATCACTGAGCTATCTATGTGCCTTGAACAAGTGCCTAATGGGCATACTATTAATATCTCCAACCAGCTGGTGCCAGACATTCGTCTCATGGTGAACCAGAGGGTTATTTTGAGGAAGTGCTTCTCAGGTCATCTAAACTGAGTGAAGGGAAAGTAAGTCTAGATATCCAAAGAGGACATTTATGCATTCCTTTGCCCATTCATTCAACATCTTTTATTGAGTGCCTACTGCATGCACAAAATGGAACAGTGGCAAGAAGGATCCATTGTTTAGGATCTGACACATTTCCAAAGTTTGCAAAGTCTAGATTTCATTTTTTAGTAGATATTTGTAAAGAAGTCAATGACTTCATGCTCTGTTTAACTTATTTAACATGAAAGCAATGTAGCCTTGGAGAGAATCCATATTTAATTCTTCACATTTAAAATTAAAGCAATGGAATCTAAAGGTACATTATAAAACAATTCAATCAGAACCACAAATGAAATGTTTGCATAATAAAGTTTTCATTATACATCAGTCTAAACCAAAATATGTTAAAATTTCAAAGGAACTTATTTTCAACTACTACACAGTATATTCCATTCATACTAAGTTTGGTGTAAAATCTCATATATTCAGCAACCAGATTTAGGTACTTAAGGGTAACAATTGAAGCAAATTTCTTATTATAAAAATAATATATTTGTTTTAGAAAATTGCTAGTAATCCTACCATCCAAGGATAACCATTCAAAATTTATATAGACACATACATCTCCTTGCATATTTAGGCTGTTATTGTATGTAACGTGGAAATTTAATTTTTTATCTTATAATTCCATCTTGAACATTTTCTTGTATCATTGAACATTTTCTTGCTTCGAAAAGATAATTTTTAATGGTTATCCAAAACTTTAATTTTCAGGCCTTCAGTTTTTGAGTTTCATGTTGTTAATAAATTTGATAGTCACTGAAAATTCTCACGGTTTGCCTGTTGCTACTCAAGGTATATTATGAAATTAAAGTAAGAAAATGCACGCAGAGTTCACCAAACAGTGCCTGGCATATGGTGGGTTATTCAACAAAAGGTTAGTTTGTTATACCGATTAATGTTTCTTAGAGGAACTTACATAGTTGATTTAGAGGAAAAGCTAATGTTCCAAAAACTTTACATACAATTTAAGTTTTCACTTAAAAATTTTGCTTGAGAATTTTCATGAGACTTCTTAATTAGTTGAGAGACTCCCCTGGACATGAAACCAGTTTTGAGATTGACTTTTTTTAATACCAGTTTTAAGACATACTATAATGCCCATTTCCTATTTAACAAAAAAAAAAAAGTAGCAAAATTAATTTTTGTAGTTTGAAAAATAACTCTCAAAAATGTCTCTTGACCACATTATAATGATCAAATCAGCTTACTCATATTTTGAAGTTTCAATGGAGATAATGAACAATAACGAAATATCACATCAAACTCTTTCTGGGACACAGTTGCGGTAAGTTAAAAGGGCTTATACAATGAAAGTAGATTAAAATGAAATGGGCTCTTCTTGACTTGACCAAACTTGAAAATCTGAAGTAATGTTTTTGTTTCGGTCATGATTGTTTTGAAAATAGCAAACAAGATTTTCTGGTTACATGTTTTGGTTATGCTCTTTAACCTGCAACTTTAAATGGGTAACACCCAGGCACTAACATGGTCTCAGTGTGTGCTGCTCTGTTTGCTTTGGCAGATCTGAATGGATAGCCTTTTCTGAAGGTTTTTAAACCTTTCAAATTCCAAGATTTACTGCATACTATAGACCTTTTGTTTTAGTTTCTGCCTAGTTTTATGAAGAGCTTTAAGTTGAAACTTTCACAGTAGACTGAGCTTTTATAATAAAGGAAAAAAATTAAAGCAGAGGAAATTTTGTTTCTCTAGCAAACTTTGGTGTATAATGAAAATTTTTTTTCTCTCTTTATTTCTGTGTATATGAGTTTTCATTTTTGTCCCTAGGAAAAGTTGTACTTACTTCATTTGGGTTGGTTTTAGGAATAGTCCTTCAAAAGTTACTGATGTTCTATTTATTAACAACTTGAAAGTTTAAACCTATAGAAGAAACTAGGGAAAGTTTCATATGACTACAGATAATCAGCATGAGACCACTATTTGGTTCTCAATAATTACCAACAGAATAGGCAGTATAGGACCAACTTCAAGAATTTGAATCTAGAATCATTCTGGCACAGTGCTCTTTTTTTTTTTTTAAAGAAAAGTTTTTTTGTTTTGTTTTTTAATTTATTTGAGAGAGAGAGAGCACACAGAAGCAGGAGGGAGAGGCAAAGGAAGAGGGAGAAGCAGTCTCCCGTCTGAGAAGGGAGCCCAACAGAGAGCTTAATCCCAGGACCCCAAGATCATGACCTCTGAGCTAAAGGTGGATGCTAACTGACTGAGCCACCCAGGCGCCCCAACAAGTGCTCTTTTTTTTTAACAATTTTTTTAATGCCATACTAATAGAAACAGACTTCTGACCTGCTAAAATTGAAAAAAAAAATAAAATGTTATTTCAGAAAAGTAACAAATTAGCAAGGAACTAAATAAATTCACTTATTTATTTGGAGTTTTGATAATACTAAAAAAAATACCAAGATTGAAGGAATTGGGGCAGAACATCAATCCTCCATTGTTCTTTGACATCGCAAATATGGATGAAGATCCACCACATCCACATTGGTTGGGCTATACTACTATGCCCAACTATGCTATACTACTATTATATGTAATAATCAGCAGTGCTGCTGCCATTGACAGATCCAAGAATAACTTCTATTTGGAGTCAAGAAATGATGAAGGGGCTAAGAGATAACCCTGATGGGAAATTTTTGCCAGGTAACAGGTGAAATTTTCATTTAATATTTAGATACAAAGCTGTACTCCTATAGTAGTAGTTTCTAGTTGATGTTGAACTTAATCTTGGTGCTGGTAAAAATCACATGGCAATTAATATAATTCAAAGAAGTCTTGTTAAGTTGTACC